ACAACACTGCACGGTTCCCTGGGGAAAGGACAAGTGTTGAGGGGGAAAGGAAATCTGCACCTCCACCCCATACACAATGAGTTCTTCTATATCAAAAAGAAGATGCCAGGGGCTGAACCCAGGGCTTCTGCAATAAGCTACATTTCCCAGCCTTCTCTTAAGTTTCTGAACAGGTCTTGCTAAGTCACTAAGTTGTCCAGACTGGTCCTGAAATTGTGACTCTCCTTTCTTAGTCTCCCAGCGTACTAAGGCTACAGATGTGTGCTGCGGTGCTGCTGAGGGTTTTAGGCAACACATAAATCCTGGTGGACCACCCACGGCTCCACCAAACCTGCTGTCAAGCTCTCCACCGACTAAGCCAGCCTGGTTGCCACACACCTGCAATCCCAGCACTCTGGAAAATCAAGCAGGAGGATCACAAAAAGTTCAAAGCCAGCCTGGGCAACTTTGGGAGACACTGTCTTCAAATAAATTTTTAAAAAGGGCCGGGGCTTAGTTCAGTGTCAATGCCCCAGTTTCAGTCCCGTAGTGCTGGGATAGGGGCATCTTCCACAACCTCACGGCGGGAAACCCACGCTCTATTCTCTCACCTTTCCTCAGAGCCGACCACTTCTTCCTTGTCCCAGTGGGCGCCCCGCCTCTCCCTAGTCCCCTCCCATGACCCTGCTGGTCCTTCTCCAGCTGGCTCCTCCACCTCACACTGCCCTCAGGGTCCTGGAACGCACACCATGGACTTCTCCGGTCTGCCCAAACAATCTCACTCACTCTCGTGCTCTGAGCAGCATTTAAAATGCCAAGCACCCCCTAGTGTGTCCCTGTCACCCGGCTTCCTCTCCCGATGCCTATCACTGAGTCCTACTGGGACCACCGCTTGAACATCACAGAAGTCCTTCCAACCCAGCACTTCTAAAAATGAAGACGTCGCTTTTATCCAGTATCTGACACCACTGCTCTTTCCTAGCTATTCACACGGACCATTCCCGCAGCTGCTCACGTCAAGTCCTCGCAGGATTCTTGACTCTAACCTTCTTTGACACACCACGTCCAGTATGTCAGCATTTGTGTCGGCAACCTTTGTGGGCTCAACCCAGAATCTTGCACTTTTTGCCAATTCATCACTGGTCCACACTCCCTTATCTCCTCTCAATACAACAGCTGGAGAAAGGTGGGGTGTATGTGTGTTTGAGAGAGAGAGAGAGAGAGAGAGAGAGAGAAAGAGAGAGAGAGAGAGAGAGAGAGAGATGGTAGACTGCTTGTGTCTCTGGAGAGGCTCTAATCTTTGCCTTCACCCTGGACGTCATCTCCTGGCTTCCAGCGCAGACTCTTCATCTTCTACCTTGGATCCTTCAGCCTTCTGTCACAGGCCCATCAGCCTCCTGATACTGCAGGGACACTGCGTGAGCTCCCGACCTTGGACTGGACCCTTCAGCCTCCAGTGTGCAGACGCCCTCTACACCCTTCCTCCTCTGACTCTGGCTGACCATGGTAAGCCAGTCTTACAGGTTCCTATACATGTGTATATCTTGCATTATATCTGTTCCTCTAGGAAACCCTGACTGATACACTCATAAACTGAACCACTTCTCTGCTCAGAGCCCTCTGCTGTCACCTTGTCACTCGAAGAGAAGCCAAGTCATCCTATAACCTACAAATCCTTCCAAGAGCCAAGCCCCATCTTACCCACTCACATCTCCAACCCACATGCCTAGCTGTGGCCCTCGTTGCTGTACCTTCGCCCTTCTTCCCCTCTCCTCCCACCCCTGGCCTACATGGCACAACCCTGGCCCAGAAGGTCCTGCCTCCGGTAGCCACAGGCCTACTCCTGCATATCCTTGACTCTGAGCAATCCTCCTGATGACCCTGCTGAGGCACATTCTCCTCCCTCCTCCCTCTAATTCTCACACGCTTTATCACCTCCAGACTGACTTACTACCTTCTTCCTAGGAGACGCTGCTCCACAAGGGGCAAGAATTTTCCTGCTAACTGCTAACTGCTCTATCACCAGTACCTACAGCAGTGCTGGGCAGAGAGTATTTGTCTGATTAACAGTTACAATAAGAGAGTAATTTATAATTTATAAACACATGATTTTCTCATTCAGATGTTACCTATTATTTAGATATCTATAATTGAAATTCATTAAAGGAATAACTGCATGAATAATTAGTTTGGTCCCTCACTACGAATTGGGGCACTGTAGGTTCACCAGTCTCCTGGTGCCTGAGGGCAGGGGAAACTGGAGAAGGGTGTGCTTGGCTACACTGAGGATTTGGTGGGCCAAAGACCCTCAAGAAACCATGGAGTCTGAGCAGCCAGGGATGCGGAGTGGGAGAGACGCAGAGAAAAGGGGAAAGAAAGTTGCAGAGATGATTCTTGCTAACATTCCTGCTTTCAGGACCCACAGCATGGGCTGGGGGCTGCTGGGCTCAGTCCAGGCTGATTTGGCTCGGCCCCACAGCAGCCCCTGACTGGCCTCTTGAATTCAGTCATGTCCTCCCACTTGGTACCACCTCATCCTTGGGGGCAATCAAGTCACTTGGGAGGTGCAGGGACAAGATGTGGCACATCATCCTCTGCCCCTGCCCCCCTTCTTACCACCTGTGTGGGGTCTGCCCTCTTCTGCCCTTAAAGGACTCTGTAGGACACACACAAAGTACAAAGGGCTCTGAGGCAATTCGTATCCTTTACATAACTGACCTTCTTACATCACCATGAGAAGCCACATGTTATTTTAGAATATTCTAGAAAGGCACTGTATCAATAAAGAACATTTGCTGGAGAAGTCTCCTGAGAAGAATGGGGTGGAAACGTAAGTGTTGCCCTGGGTGGAAATGGAGGAGAGCATCAGTACCCTTACCGATGTTTTACAGCTGGAGCAGTGGGATCCTTAAGACCAATTTCACTCATCTGCTTCTGCACGTCTTGAATATTTTTGAAGAGCTCATTATTTTTGGAGCTACAGGCCTCTAACAGTTTGTTGTCCTCAGCAAGTTCCCGCTGCATGCCAGGGCCCCGTGTGTCCAGTACCTCTGCGGATGCGGCATCTACAAGTTTCTCACAAGTGGACTCTCCACCTCGCTCAGCATCCTTAAAGGTTATACCAAGCATCCGCAAGTGCTCATCCAGCTGTCCGGCCTGGGCTTTCATCAGCTGAATTTCTCTCTCTGTATCTCTTTCTGTTAAAGTATTTCCTGGTGTCCCTGGTACAGCCGAGCCTGACAGCTCCATGACAGGCTCCTCAGGGCGCTTCAGGGCTGCTAGAGCAGACAGCAGCTCCTGCAGGGCGGCCAGGACGCCCTCGCCCATCTGCACCCTGCGGCTCGCCTCCTCCAGCTGAGCTCTGCATGCCAGCAGAATGTGCTGCACGGCCCCTGCGTCACTGGGGTGCAATCCCCTCAAGACAGAGTTGCCTGGCTCTTCTAAGTCCCTACACATAGCGATCTGTCTTGCAATGGAATCTTGCATACTCTGCAAAAGAAAAAAAAAAAAGAATTTAAAAGACTAAGGCAGAAAAAAAGAAAACCACATGTCAGAAATTAATCTCAAGCAGAAGACTAGATTCGACAGAAAAATGCTTCTGAGATTAACCAAAGCTGACACTTGAACATGGGAAACATTTTAATTGCAATGATCAGACAGCCCCATTGTGTCATTATCTTACATCCCGATGCTTTAGTTGCCAAAAGAAAACAAGCACATAAATCTCTTACTTCAAAGCACACAGAAATGAGCAGCTGTGAGGCCAGCTAGACCACTGAAAAGACAGAATCAATGTTGAATAAATAAATGTAAAATATGCTATTTAAGCCAGTGAGTCTCATATGATATTTAGAAATTCAGTCAAACTGAGGAAGGCATTTGGAAAGGTGGCTTCATTTTAGAAGATATCCTGTTGTTTACTCCATAGTAGCTACCTCCAAGGATACAAGGAATTGGAACCTTGAGAAATGAATAGCCAGTTAATAAATTATTGAAGATTTTTCTATCATGGTTATATTCTAAATTTACACTATGATAAATCAAAGATGCATAACCATCTATGTATCCCTGATTCCTCTGTCAATACACTAGGAGGATATATTTACCCTCAGGTTTTGGTAAACACCATCAGCATCCACAAGATGAAATTCCCGGATGGTCACCTCCCCGAGAGCCAGGTCCGAACCACACAGGAGTAAAGACTGTTCCTCCACGGGTGATACCACCTGCAGTGCCAGCTCTAAGGACTCCAACCTGGGTGAAAAATAAGCCAGACATGAAGGGAAACAAAGCAGAAAAATATCTCACAAGAACATATTAACACTATTATTTGACCATGAGTGAGCAATAGTCACCCAAGGAAAACATACGTAAAGATTCGTACAGGTCACATTAAACCCAAACTCATACATCTAACATGCCAAAATATGAGTTTTCATATCCAAGGTTTCTTTTTCTTCCATTAATTTATCCATTGGATGCAAGTTGGTTTTTTAAAATGTAGTTTAGTACAGGGCCTACAGAGGGTCTCTATACAAATTGGACTTGCTCTGATCCTCGTTTTCAGCCTCCCAAGCACTGGGCTAAAGGTGCATGCCGCCACGCCCAGTCTCAATCGTAGTCTTTTTTAATTTTACGGAAGGGTCTACAGGGTGTTCAGGGTCTCACTACTAGATTGGACTTGCACTGATCCTCCTGTTTTCAGCCTCCCAAGACCTGGGATTACAGGCACATGCCACCATGCCCAGTCTCAGTTGCCGCCTTAGCATGCCCCAGGGGTGGGGCTAGCACAGCACACTGGGGACTGAACTCCAGTCCCTGTGTCTGCCTAAGCAGATGCTTTAGTCTGCTGAGCTATCTGGTTGACCCCATTAATTTATCCATTGATTCATTCATTCACCGGCATTTATTTAGTAAGAGACTTGGTTAAGTTTGCATCCCATTGGTGCTAGCCAGCTCCACCTTACTGTTACTGTTGGGGTTTTTGCTTTGTTTTGCTTTACTAATTTCTACTGGTTTATTGAAAGGGATGGTTAGTGCTTAATTCTTTGACCAATTTTCCATGCCCAGATCTGGCAACCTAAACAACTACTTTGAAGACAACTGTTACTGTTTTGATAGCCTTATGGATGATTTCTCTTTCACTCCAAAATGTGTCCTAATATCTAGGATTACAAAGAATGGAAAACTGTTGTTAGACCGTTTTTATTGTTAAGCACCTCCCTCTCTTTCGAAATTTTAATACAGAATGTACTTTAATTTTCACACGCTCACCAAGAAACTGTATAATTATTTTATTACAATTATGGAATAATTTATAATATAATTCCATTTATAAATATCACTCCACATGATGGGGCTCTGGGTTTTGAGCCTTGGTGGCTTCCTATGTAAAATGGGAGCCCGTGCTGGGGACACACATTCTGTGCACTCGTTACTTAGGTGGGTAACAGCACTCCCGTTGTGGAATGAGGGAATCATCCGTGCCTGACAGCGTCTGGGCCTTAGCCATATTCATGGTCAAGGAGAGATGGCCAAAGAGCATGACCTTGGAAGTCCCACTGCCTCTGGCGGGCTCTGGCTACAGGTACGGACTGGTTGTGCTCCACACACTGTCTGAGCCATGTTTCCTTATCAGTAAAATGAGCATCATGATGCTATTTTTGGGATCTGGAACAACCTCTGGAAGTTGAAAGGCTTGGGGCTTGGGTTGGTGTTTTGTAAAGTTGGGAACCCCTAGGAGTCGGGCCTACTGGAAGTTAGGTCATTTGAAGGGAGGACTGGGACCCTTTCCCTTCCTAGCTGCCAAGACACAAAGAGACCCTCTTCACCATGCACCCCTACCATATCATACAGTGGGTGCCTCCCCCGGGAACAACAGAGCCAGCGAACCTAGACGGAAGCCCCTGTAAACTGTGAGTTACAATAAACCTTCACCCTCGTCAAGTTGGTTTAGCATGTGTATTTTTCACAGCAACAGACAGCTGGCTAATGGAATACTGTTGGCCTCTCTTGTGGTCATGATAACTAAATAAAGTAACATACTTAGTATTAGTAATCATTTTAAGAGGACTTTTAAAAATTGAGTTGAGGTATTCAATTCATGGGTAGTAAGTAGAGCTCAGAATTATACCTGGTCTTAAGAGGCATCTGAAAGGTGCTTTCTTTTCCCTTTAATGTAGCTCTTGTCTTAACTATAACAGGCTTCTCCGTGTCACTCACAAGATTTTCTAACTTCGATGAGATGGTTTCAAACTCTTTCCAGCAAGCCTCCGTTTCATTTTTTAAGAGCTATGTGAAACACATAAATTAAGATATCAACCAGTAAGTTAATAAGCACAATTATTTTATTCTTACAAAAGGAGACACAGAAAAAATAGATATTCGCTACTGTGGGAAGCGAGAGAATGTTTCACATGAAAATGTGTCTTAAAATATTTTCCAGCCATCTACAAATGAACTATAGGGAAGAATGATACCAAGTATGCTCTCAAAAGACTCACTCAGGGCAGGAAAGGAGGGGACAATACAACTTTAACAGTTATCCAAACTCCCTTGGCCTTAGTTATTGCAGAACACAATTCAGAAAGACGCATAGCCACTAGCAACAGATACTCTATTTCTTCTAGCTAGCGAATCCACTACCTTCTGAACTAAAAGATAATTATAATGAAACAAAACTGTTTCTTATACTCGTAAGAAGTGAATAACATTAATTTATGGCTTACAACAAAACACCTCTAATTCTGTACTATTCTAGCGTCTTATTTTAAGGCACTATTTGTTCTTCACCCTCTCCAAAATCTAATATAGTTTTCCTAATCAACTTAATAGTCACTGGGGAAAGGTCTCCAGATAGTTTCTTAGCGGTGACCAAAACAGGCTAAATCCATCACTCGAACATCAGTGATTTTTGCACACATACAGCTGGCTTATTCAGGGGAAGAACAGAGAAGAGTGTGACCAAAAGCTGGCATAAGAAAGTGAAGGAAACTGGGAAATGTGGGCACACACTGCAAGACCCACGCTGGCCCTGGTCACCCAGTGAATGCCCCCCTCCCCCCGAAGGGCACTAATGCACGTGAGAGCTCATGTGACAAGCCCCACGCACCCCAATGCACTGGAAATCTTCAAAATGATCAAATACTTATTTGCACAGCTTACGATGTGTGTGCCCACCACTACCAAGATGCTGTTTCTGTACCGGCAGAGCTGAACACAACGCTCTCCCTGAGGTCTTTCTGGGAAGCGCGCTCATCATTCCCTCTGCTGCCTGCCCACACAGCCTTGTATCAGGCAGTCCGCAGCTGACACACATCACAGCACTTCTAGACAACGTGCGAATCTGGTCGAGATGATAAATGACTGAGACAAATACTCAAAGCCATTAGTTATAGTTTGGAGCAGCACGGGAGCAGATGGAAAGTGTCAGCAAACTCTGCGCTGGTTTTGATCAGTTCATCTGAAGTCCCGAGCACAATCAAAAACTCTGTAAGCCCCAGTATCTGGAGCAGCTGATTAAAGCATCAGGAATAAATTAGAATCCATCACTATAGTATTTCCTAGGCTTGGTATTTGCAAACAAGTCACTTTCTGGAACAGGGTGGTATTAGAAATGCAATCCAATAAAGAAAATTCTTGAGATATGCGCCTTAAATCTTAAGATTCCGTGTATGTCACCTCAACAGAAACAGTCATGTCCATAACTGTGGTGGCGTTTTCCTCCCTGTTTTTTGGTTTGTTTTGAAACAGGGTCTCGCTGTGCAGTTCAGGCTGGCCTTGAGCTCACTTTGTAGCTCACACTCTTCTTAAACTGGCAGTAATCCCTCTGCCTCAGCCTCCTGAGTGCTGGGATTACAGGCAAGCACTGCCAGTAACATTCTTTTTTAGTAAAAGAGAAACACTCTTTCTAGTAGCTACCTGCAGGTCTTTCAGCTTCTCCTGCAGACACGCACTCCTCCACTCCTTCTCATTAGAGAAATCACAAGTGATCCTGAATTGGTTGTTCTGCAGATGTAGTTCAAGAATCTTTTTGTGTGCATCATAGCTGAGGAAAAAATTAAATGCAAATGTGAATTTTACAAACAAGTCAAAAATACCCTCAAATTATTACCAATTGTACATGATGAAATCCCAGGAAACTTCAATTTAAGTTACTGGATCATGCACTAAAATTACAACTACAGGATAAAACTTTTTACAAAGCACAATATGTTCCCAAAGATGAAGGCTTTCTGTTGGATTTTCCAGCTGTTTAAGTACCTCTCTTGTAACTTATTTATAGGTGTGTTCTCATCCTTTCCATCCTTTCCCATAATGCTTTCTTCTCGCTGTGGCTTTAACTCTGAGGCCTGGCTGTAATTCTTAATGGCTTCCATTGCCTAAGCAAATATGAAAGACAGTAAACATAACCGTAACCACACTTGCCTGGAACAGCTGGATGTTTTATACTTATAGTGTTGATTCTTTCTAACCAAGAGATGGTATGATTTTCTTTGCAATTTCTCAGCTCAGAAACAAGCCTTCCCACAGGACATTTATTAAAGTGGGTCTCACCTTCTAATGGATAACAGAACGCTGCCTGATGCTGAATGCTGCTGCTGCTGCGTGAGACCCGCTAGCCACAGTCAGACAGAGACAGACACCACAGGAGCAGGAACAGACCTCCAAAAACAAACGTACCTCATTCCTCTCCTGCCTGTGCCGTCTGGTGCTCTGGGCCACGACACGCACTACATGCCAACCTAACTTCAAGGATTTAGAAAAGTCACTTCTCAAAGGAAGTAGAATACGTGATGGTGAGCAGACAAATGACCAGTGAACCGTTCATCTCAAAATGCAGAGGCTCTTGTGCAGACAAGTTCTGCCTCTCCCACTCTCAACAGCAACGGACCCAAAGAACCATCTTCGTAATGGCCCGGTGCGGTCCCTGCTGGAAACACCTGTATCCTCGAACAAAATTAAGTTATGATCACAAGGGCTTGGCTTCAGTGCATCCTAATTCCTCAGAAAATTAGTCTTCCTTGTATTTTGTTAAATGGGATTTCTTAGCTGATATGAACAACCAGATAATTAAAGGCAATGCTTAAACAATTAGAAGTGGATTACTGTACCCTCTACCTTTTACATTGAGTGTATTTCTATAATACATTATCTACTTCTAACACCTTTTCAGCTGCTGGCTGATTATCTGATTTTGCAAATGGCTCCTCACTGTGGGAATCCTTTCCACCATTCTCTGTTGTGGTCACAGTCCCCCTGGGAAGAAATCAAGATTACATGTTAAAACAGAGAACAATGGAAACTAAAAGAGAAAGAACAAAGCTTAATGCCATCTGATTGTGCAAAAGGTGGCCTCTAGCACTTCCCCCAAGCATGCCTATTCTCTGTGAGTACTGACTGGACTTTCGATGAAATTCCTGCAGGGGCCTGCAGTGTCCTGAGAATCTCGGAAGCACTCTTCAGAAGTCTCTCTATCTTCTGTTCATAATCTCTGAGGGCTTGCTTCACTTCCTGTTGCTTCTCCTGCGAAGCCAGCTCCTCAGACAGCACCCTCAGGACGCCCATGTGGTGGTCAAGCTGGCCCACGATGCCGTCCTTAGCAAAGCAAGCCTAAGGGCAGACAGCAGAAAAAAGGATGCAGGTCAGTTCCCAATTCTTCCACACACCCAATCAGAAACTAATAAATGAGTGACTAGCAATACTTTATTTTACAGTCCACTGCTGTAGTCATGGTGTGATAAGGACTGTGGAAAAATAGAGGAATCGGCCCTAAAGGAATTCACACTGCAGTAACACAGACATGCAAACAATTAGCCCATAGCATAAGAAGTACTGAGAGACCTGCCCCGCCTTGAAAGATCAAGAAAAGCCTACATCACAAGAGGGGACTATCTGTGTGAGATGCGGGAAGAACAAGGACAAGTCCCGCAAGCCAGAGGGGGAAGCCAGGAAAGAGGTTCCAGAAGCCTCCAGGCCAGGCTCTGAAGAACTGGTGGTCTGCTTGAGTTCAGAGTTGTTCTGGGCATCAAAGGGAGCACATGGCATAAGATCTGATGTTGACAAGGCTAATCCTAACCCAATCAAAACACGGTCAACCAAATCAAATGGAAGAAGCACATGTGCTCGCTTTGGCAGCACATATACTAAAATTGGAATGATACAGAGAAGATTAGCCTGGCCCCTGCGCAAGGACAACATGCAAATTCGTGAAGCATTCCCTATTTTTACCTCTTTCCTAATCTTCACTAGCAGGAAAACTGAGGCTCTTATTAAAAAAAAAAAAATACAGATGGCCAACAAGTACATAAAAAATGCTCAACATCGCTGGCTATGCGCAAAATGCAAATTAAAACAACACTGAGATTCCATCTCAGTCCAGAAAGAATGGCTATCATCAGGAACTCAAATAACAAATGCTGGAGGTTGAGGGGGGTGGGAATAGACACCGAGATAAAAGAGAGACAGAGAATCTATAAAGAACACTAAAAAAGGACTCTTTCTTCCCAACTGTGTGAAAAAGCTTGACACTGAGAGCCACAGCAGTAAGGCACTTAAAAAGAAATGAAAAGGAGTCAGCCCTACCAAATATGTGAGAGCGACCAAATAGGACAGAGGCCAAAAGACATCATCACAACTGCCCCAAGCTGCTTTCTATACTGATTTACTCATTTTCACAAAAGCTGCATTTCTGAGAACACCATGCCCCAATAGAGGCATCCGCAGACACTTCGGCAACAGGCAATGCTACTGTGACCGCAGTCCCAGGATGGGAGCACAGAAATGTGTTAGGGAGGAATCGGGAAATAGCTCCTCTCTGCTGAGTCTGCCCACTCCTGGAGAAGCACGAGGACAGGGATAGCTTGGGCCACCTCAATAACAATCCTCGGGACAAGCAGGCTGAAGCCGTTTTCAGAGCTGACTTAATCCCGGGCTAAGGACCCACACAGAGATTTAAGACAAACTACAACACAGTCACAAAATGTCAGTGGAAGTTGTTTTACCTTATGCTCATTGATGAGACCCTTGCTCTTTCCTCTACGAATAAGTTTCTTTTCTTTATTTATTTGCTTTTCAAGTTTTGAAATTGTGTCTTGAAGTTTTCCTTTTTCAATGTCTATTTTTAGTTGTTGAATATACAACGAAATTTCATGATGAAGCGACTACAAAAAAAGCAAAACATTAATCATGGCAACAGAATATACTGAAAACCATTTGTAAAAACAACACAAATATTTGTAGTAACAAAAAGGAAGAACTACAACTTAACAATATTTTGATTCACCCATGTATCTTTGGAGAGAATGTTTTAAAAAGTCCCAGCCAGACCTATTAATCTTTGTTCTTTTAGTTTCTAACTAAAAATCTGGTTTTGGTATGAAAAGCACCAGTAAGAATTTGAAAGGGCCAGCGAGATAGCTCAGTGAACTAAGCACCTGCCTAGGCAAGCACAGGGGCTCGGGTCCAGTCCATGGTACCACATGCCACACTGGCCCCACCCCGGCTCCACTCATGGGCACGCTGAGCTGGCCACCAAGTCTGCGTGCAGTGGTGCACACCTGTAATCCCAGTGCTGGGAGGCTAAAAATAGGAGGATCACCACGAGTTGGAGCTGCCGAGTGGGGCCCTATACCAAATAGATAAATTTAAAAAAAAAACAAAACCTTAGCATTCTCAGAGAGAAGTATTTAGAGTGTTTTCTGTTGTCCTGGCTGGATGCTGACAGATAAGAATATGACAGATAAGCTACACACTTGGAGAAAACACACATCGGAGGCTAAGGAGACATAAAAATAAGCATAATGTGTTCCTGGATGAGATCCTAGAACAGAGGGAGGGATAGCTTCAGGAACCGAACCAAGTACAGACTTCTGCTACTACTGATCTATCACTGCAGGGCACAAGGGTGCAGGCCCAGAATCCCTATCTGGGAGGCTGTAAAAGGAAGACCGCAAGTTCAAGGCCAGCCTCAACAACTTGCCAAAAGCCAGTCTAAAAAAACATAAAAAAAGCTGTCAATGTAACTTGGGGGTAGAGCACTGACCTAGCATACACTGGCCCTGGCTCAACCCCAGTACTGCCAAGAGAATAACAAAATCCATATGGGCAAAAGTACCACACTTATCTAAGGTGTTAATGCTGGTAGGACCCAAGCCTGGGGTGGACTGGAACCCTCTGAATCACCTTCCCAATAATTCTTCAAATCGAAAACTATTGTAAAAAGTAAAATTTAAAAAAGAAAAAAAAAGAAATCAAACTTGAATTTAATAAAATTTAGACCTTTAAGACTTTTTTTTTTTTTTTTTAGGAAAGCCTGTAACAGTATTCAATTTAATTACAACTACACATGTGCAGTCATACTGGGAAATTAATTCCAGAAAGCCACTTCCCCCCATACCTATAAAGTCCTCGCACAAAATGGCATTTGCTACATGACCTGAGAACACCCTCCTGTACATTGTCTTCTCTGGAACGCTTATAATACCTAACACAATGTAAACACTTTGGGGCCTGGGAGATGGTTCACTGGAATAAGCGCTTCAATCCCCAGTTCCGCCTAAAATAAATAAATAAATACTTTTTTTTTTTTTTTAAAGACCTATATAACAAGAAATGTACAGGCCAGGGAGATGGCTCAGTGGAATAAGCGCTTCCCTGGCAAGCGCAAGGGCCTGAGTTCAATCCCCGGTTCCACCAAAAACAACAACAAAAAACAATGTAAACACTTTGTAAGTAGTTGTTATACTGCATTATCATGGAATCATGAGGAAAAAAACCCCATGTTCCATATAGATGAGGTTTTTTCTCAAATACTCCTGATTTGCAGCTGGCTACCCACAGGTGAGCAACCCGCACATGTACATGTATATACACGCATATACACATTCGTTATATTAGTTACTACTTATTGAAAACAATCTCTGTCACATATGCTTTATATAAATCTTCGTGACAGTCCTGCCAAGTGGGGTGTTATTCCCATTTGATCAATGAAGTCCCTAAAAGTCAGTCCTCCAGGGTCCTCACTTCCGAATTCAGGTTTGTCTGCCATGAAAGGCCACACCTGTTTCACTACATAATTCTGTATGTGTCATGTGTCGATGTGTGTTCTCAGTCGGCATCCAGCCAGGACAACAGAAAACACTCTAAATACTTCACTCTGAGAATGCTATATGCCAGGAATTATTATTATTATTTATTTATTTATCAGAGATAGGGTCTTGTTACATAGCCCAGGCTAGCCTTGAGTTCTCAGGGATCCTCTTGCCTCAGCCTCCCATGTGCCAGGCTCATAGGTGTATGCCACCAGGCCTGGCCAAATGCAAGGAATTACTACACCAGGGATGAAAGCTCAGAGCAGTCAAGCACAGACAGACAGGCACCAAGGGATAAGCACCAGGAAAGCAGCTCCTGTGCCTGGAGTGGGCACTTTTGTGGAGCCCAGGAAGAAAAGACACATGCCAGAAGCCAGGGCTCTGGGGCCCAGTGCCCACAGCGGTGGAGAAGAACCGCTCAGGTCTCCCTCTGCCCTCCTATCACTGTCCAATCGTAACTGTGCTGTCACTGACTGCACGCACACGCCAGCCAACCCCCAAAGACCTGAGCGCAGATCTCCTGGCATCACCCCAGGTGTAACACAGAGCACATGGGGAACCCCAGGATCCACTCCACTGCCAAACACATCGGGATCAGAGCCAGAGGCCCACGCACGTCCTACCTCCCACTTGGCACGGGCAGCCCCACTCTCCTCCTCCAGGGACAGCTTTGCCTCTTCAGGGACACTGAGCTCCAGTTCTTCAACAGCTTTCAAATACTTGCCCAGACTATTTGCGTTAGAAATCCTTAGTGCTTCCTAGAGGGGGGAAAAAAAAAAGCAACAAGAACATGGAAACTCCATTATTCTGTCAAATCCTCAAAACCGCCTTAGTAGTTCTGTGACAGAAGGTAAAACCAGAAGGGACCTGAGGGCCACTGCAAGGAACACAGGCGACACCTCTTTGTAAATTGAAGCTGACAGTCCTTTTGCATCATTTTAATTCTTTTGAAATGAATTACAAACTCTTTCTTATTTAAATATAATTATCTACTTGATATCTTTATGATATTCACAATAATTTCTGCTGCTTTCTGATAATTAAGAGGCTTAAGGTACAAAGTAAGAGAAACTGGCAATTGTCTAAAAACCTCTTGACACATTTTTATGCATCAAGCAGACAAGCACACTTCACAAGAAATAATAGGAAAAGTATAACTGTGTATATTAGAGATTAGCATGAGAGTTGGGTGTAGTGGTACATGCCTTTAATCCCAGCACTCAGGAGGCTGAGGCAGGATCGTTGTGAGTTCAAGACCAGCTTGGGCTACAAAGTGAGCTCAAGGCCAACCTGAACTGCATAGTGAGACCCTATCTCAAAATGGAAAAGAAAAAGAGAGAGACTGAGAGAGAGAGAGAGAGAGAGATTAGCACTGGAATAAGAAAGTTTATGGGGGGATTTATGTGGTAAAATATTTAATACCATGCATAATCACTGTTATGCTGCAAGGAGCCCGCATTACCTTGTTATCAATTCAAAGTTTTACCCAAGGCCAACCACATGGGCAGTCCCACCCCACGAAAGGTGTCGCAGGGCGCAGCCTTGCTGGGAGCATAGTCTGCTCTTTACCTGGCATACTATGAGAGCAAAAATCTAGCTAAACCAGAACAAAAAATAGTTTGAGACTAGTGGAAAGAACAGGAAACGGACGGGAGAGAGAAGGTGGAGGACATCCTGGAGTAGAAGGCAATCAAGCAAGGTGGGAACTCATTCGTGCGCTCACTCTGTATGTCAGGCCACTGTGGAGATGCACAGTGCCCCAGCGCCCCTCTGCAAGGCTTCTTTGCTAATGGTAGATTTGCGACCTGGGGAAAGACCCCAACCGCAATAGGGAGAAGAGACTCCAACGAGCCTCCCTGTGGCAAAGAGGAAGAGTCTCTGACCTCAGATCCCGAAAGGCAGACAGATGGTCAGAGAGAGAAACATGGTCCAAAACCTGACACCATTAGCTCTTCTCTCTGGGACAGGAGGGGCCTCGGAACCTCTAAATTTTTCATCTCCCTTTGCTTGGCAGATGAACTCCCCACTCCCTCTCCTGAAATCCAGTCTAACGATTATTTTAAAAACTTGGTAATGTGGAGTAAAAGCAGGGGGAAAAAAAGACAGCCAGCGACAGGCAAAATGCAGAGCGTCAAGCTGAGCAGTTGGCTGGTGGCTTTCAGGATTGCAGGGAATGCAGTGTCAAAATGGCTTTAAAAGGCGCCAGTGAGGTTCATAATCCAGGAAGCAGACCTAGCGCTCAGGCCCAGGAGAGACCGAGATGGAGGCCAGGTGAGAACGAAGCAGGCTCCTAGGAGAGCACCTTCTCCTCCCAGAGCAGGAGTGGCAGGACACGGGCACCGGGTGCCAAATCTC